GGGTCACGTGGGGCGAGAGGCTGGGGCCCGGCCGGCCCGAGGCGCCTCTGGTGGGCTTCCCGCGGGTGACCCACCCGCGCACGGCGAGGCGGCGTGCGGGGGTCCCCAGGAGCGACCCCGGGATGTGCAGGGGGCCCCGCAGCTCGGGGACTCACTTTGGGACCCGCCTTCGCAACAAACGAAGGTATGCTGTGCTTTTCTGGAAGCAGAGGGTCTTCCTTCGCCGTGGCAGGGTCTTGCCGTTCCCCCCACCCCAGTCAGGGCCGTTTGCCCCCATCCTAATTTCATTTCTGTCTCTTCTTTAAAAGAAAGCGTTTGTTGTTAAAATAGAAAAGTTCTTTCTCTTGAGTTTGGAGAATGGAGAGAGGACCGTTTTGCTGCCACAGTGGGTATAGGGGCTGGCTGGGACCCATCCTGCAGGCTTGAAAGCTGCTCCGTGGCTTTGGTGGAAGAGGTGAGGGTCCCACCCCAGTGTTTCGAGGCTTGATGACAACATGGAGGTGTCATGTGCTGGTGTGACCGACCTCTCAAGTTCCATTCTCAGCCTCTGCCTCCTCATGGTCTGGAGGCATGGGGGATTCTAGAACCAGAGGACTTTGCCGCCCTTTCAGGAAGCAGACCCGGCTGGGCAACACAAGAATGATCCGGGGTTGCCCCAGTGCCTCCATGACTGGGGACAGGCTCCTCCCAAGGTGGGCGGTCCTGTTAGGTGAACTCCCGTGTTCCTGCCCAGTGTGGCCTGTGGCTTCGCCACCTTTGGCGTGGGACAGGCTTGTAACACGCATTTGATCTGATTGCCCACGGAATTGTCTTGATTCAGAGGCAGCTTTGGAGGGGGATTTGGTGCTGTCTGTTGGATGGGATGAGGTCCTATTTGGGCTTCTCAAGAGCCTTGGCGTGAAGTAAGCACTAAGAAAACCAGGTAGAGACGGAAAGAGAAACCAACCCTGTTCTTAGTTTGGCTGCATTATTGGGGTTTATTTGAAGTTGCTTTTTATGTGTGTAAAATGTACCATAGCATACATTCCAAGAGGGGCTTTAGTTTTGGTTCAGATGAGGATTTCAGATGGCTGGCAGGTTAAATGTTCAGCTGCTAACCGAAAAGTTGGTGGTTCGAACCCACTAGCCGCTTTGTTGGAGAAAGCTGTGGTAATCTGCTTCCACGAAGATTACAGCCTTGGAAACTCTATCGGGCCGTTCTGCTCTGCTCTATAGGGTCATGGGTGAGTCGGAACTGAACTCCATGGCAATGGGTTTTGAATCAAAAACTTTTCTAAGATGTGTTAAGTAAATCCAAAGGTTTTGAGATTGAGGGAGAGGCAGGAAAGTTGTACTCTTTAGTATCCCAGAAGAACGGGGGTAGACTCACCATTTTCTGGCCCTATGTTGGGGCTGCACTGATGAGAATGGAAGCTTCCCTGCACGAGGATGACCTGCGGACCCCCCAGCGCCAGAACTTCTGTTCCTCTCAGACTTCAGTCTGTGAGTTACAGTTTGGCCACAACCTAGCCCACCGAGAGGGAAAGGGAATTTTGAAATTCCGGTATACCTCTTAAGCCTGAGGCCTTGTATAAAAACTTCTTCTCAGATGTTTCAACTAACGGACTCTTCCCTAAATCAATGGGGGACACTCTCAGGCCCCGCAGCAGGACTGGCAGGTTATCATAAGTTGGTGAGATTCCAGGAAGTCGACCCCGAGCCTTGCGGAGGGGTGTGTTTGGTGGTAACTCGACTGTGCTTCCTACTTTGTTTCTAGATCGCCGCCAAGATTGGAGGCGATGCTGCTACAACCGTGAATAACAGCACTCCGGATTTTGGTTTCGGGGGCCAAAAACGGCAGTTGGAAGATGGAGGTAACTACCTGTGGCTGCTTTAGCGTGGGAAGAGGGGTCGTAGGGGCAGAGAGCCAGGCGCCTTTGTTTGAGTGTGGCTTGGTGGTGGTGGGGGGGGGGGCACTGTTTGGTCTTTTTAAACCCTCAGCAATGCCAGCTTTGTTCATTTTTTTGTTGTTGTTTGGTCCTACCGTCCTGCGGTATCAGGTAGCAGGTGGGAAGGTGGATTGTTTGTGACAGGCTCTGGGTATAAGTTCTCAAGATCCTTGTCCCCTTCCTGGAGGCCGCAAACACATGGGCAGTTTTATGGAGGCCTGGTCTAAAGTTTGGGTGGCCCGAGGGCATGTAGCATCACTCATAGTGGCCAGAACCCTCAACCAGATTATCAACTGAATAGTGACCCCGCCTCCTTCCCTGCAGATCCCATCTGACCCAGGCAGGTCTGGCCCGCGGCAGCCGCCATCATTGTTCGCTGGTTATAAAGGGTTTTTTGACTTGGATGCTGGTGGCAGGATGGGGGAAGTCTGGTCCCTTCCGGGGGTGGTCTCTTCTAGCCGCCTGTCTGAGCTCTGGTTCTAGGGGCCCAGGGAGACAAGGGGGCTGTTTGTCCAGGACAGGTGGCACCAGCATCAGGACTGAGGCAGCGTGGCTGGGTGGGTGCTGCCTCTGACATGCTCTCTCTTTCACAGACCAGCCTGAGAGCAAGAAACTGGCTGCCCAGGGAGACTGTAAGTCCATGGGGGTGCAGGCAGGGGGCGGCGCCAGGGGCCTAGAGGCCTTCAGGGGTTGGGAGCAAGGAACACCAAGCAGATAACAGCTCTCCTTTGGGAAGGGTCCAGATGTTGATAATTTGGGGTCCATGAGCTGCAGGGATCCCAGAACCCCCTGGAAATGAGGCAGAAGTGCTCTGGGCATGTGCTTCTCTGAGGAGGGGTCCACAGTGCTCATCAGGTGCTCGAGGCGGCTCAGAGCCATGGGGGATGGGCTGCGTCCAGTCTTTGGATTCCGTGAGAGGCACCGTGCCAATCTTTCCTTTGGATTTGCCTTTTGCAGCAATCAGTTCTCAGCTTGGGCCCATCCATCCTCCCCCGAGGTAAGTTGTAGTTTGGGGAGCCCACTGGTTCCCCGTCAGCCTTTCTGACTGACTTTGGTGGGCATTCTCTGTCAGGGGGCTGCACTGCTCAGGTACTGGGCTGACTGATCAGAGGGCCCAGAGGAGCTGCCCCAAGTCCTTGTGCTCATCTGTGGGGTTGTCTGGGGGAGATGCTTGTAGCAACCAGCTGTCGTGAGGGAAGGATGGTCTTGGCCCCTGTGGCTTCCTTCATTCGGTGGGGACAGCAGCGGAACACAGGCACCTGTCTCCTGAGAAAAGGCTGGGCAGGGAGGGGACTTTACCCTGTTCTCGCCCATCTTCTGCAAATGCGCATTTCCTACATGTTGGTTGAACCTGGGGGCCTTTTCTGCCTTTTTGTGGCCCCAGATAGGCTTGGATGAATCTGACCTGGTCCTTCACAAGCGATTCTACTGTACTTCTGCTTTTTAGCGGGCCGAAAGTTTTGTAAAATACAGTAAAAACTGTACTAGGAAATTAAGTGAGAATGACGGAAAACCAACATTTTTATGTTTAGTGTCAGCAGACGTAAAAGCTAGCCTGTCTGGTTGTTGTTATAGCGTCTAAATGCTTGTTCTTGGCTGGAGTCAGCGAAACAGTGCTGGGCCATAGGCTACACAGACCCGGACCAGTCAGTCCTCTTAGGGCACAGATGGGGAAACTGAGGCCTCGAGAGGCTAGGTGCCCTGCCATGGAGAAGGGAACTTGTGCTAAGGTCAGACTCTGCTAGGCCTGGTGGGGTCTTGGTCCCCGTGTTGTAGGCAGTGGGATCTGAAGCCAGAAGTATGGATGGCATTCCTCCCCGGGGCGGTGACTGTGGCTCAGAGCAGCCAGGGCCTTCTGTTCAGGAGACCTTCTGGAGCTCCTCCTTCCCTTTCTTTCCTACTCGGGACTGACTGCTGTGTGTCTATGCAGGACTTCGATGACAGAGGAGTACAGGGTCCCAGACGGCATGGTGGGACTGAGTAAGTATGGGTCAGTGGTCAGTACCCGGCACCTTGGGGACAGCACTATCATCTCTCCTTCTTGGGAACCATGTCTCATGAGGTGCCAGCCCAGGAGCCTTGGATCTGAAGGGGCCTGTTGTCTCTGCTGTTTGTCCCTCATTTGTCTTCTCTGGGAGGACAGGGGACGTCTTGAAGTGGCTGCTTAATATCAGCGGGGCTGGGAACCCTGCCTCGTAGAGTCTCCAGGCCCTGGCTTCCGTCCGTCAGGTCGGCTTTCTTCTTTTTCTCCCCTAGTAATTGGCAGAGGAGGCGAACAGATTAACAAAATCCAGCAGGATTCGGGCTGCAAAGTGCAGATCTCACCAGGTACGAGGACCTGGTTCCTGCCTGGGTGGGGGCTGGGATTGGCTGTGTGCACTTTTGTAATGACTGTGGAAAGTGAAGCGAGCTGCTGTCTATTGAGTGCTTACTGTGTACCAGGCTCAGCGCAGTGTCTCAGCTCTTACAGCCCCAGGGGGTGGGTCTGTGTCTGTTTCCATTTTACGGGGACGACGGGAGTGGAAGATGTAGAGTTGAACACAGGAACGCTTGCTCTGAACTTTTCCGTTGCTGCCTAAATCAAAGCCCTGATGAACACGGGGGACGTGTGGTCAGGCCTGGCATTCAATCCCAGTTCCGCCTGGTTGCTTGTCTGCTCTGACAGATGAGTTCCCCCCTTTTACACCTCATGTCTCTGAGCTGCTTGGTACCGGCTCGGCAGGGCTTTCTGAGGGTTCGCTCTAATGTCTGCGAAGGTCCTGGACTGTAGAAGACGCTCACGTGCTCATCAGTGGTCGCGGGAGCGCAGAGGGTCATGGCCCAGGTTTGGGGCCTTCTGGGATCTTCCTCTCCTTCCACCCCATCTTTTTCCCAAAGACTTCTGCTCCCTTACTGGATTTTAAGCTGCTCGATCTTGGCCTTGCCAGGAGTGGTCCTTGGTGTTGGGGAGGTAAATGGATTTGTCAGGCTGCTGAGTGGTGGCAGGGAGGCTCTTTCTAGTGTCCAGAGACTGGTAAGGGTGCTGACTGTCTCGTCTTCTCTCCAGACAGCGGCGGCCTTCCCGAGCGCAGCGTGTCCCTCACAGGAGCTCCCGAATCTGTCCAGTAAGTTCCCAGCTGCCCCAGGAGAAGGAGAAGCCCTCTCAGTCCCTGGGCCTCCGAGTCAGGTCCCTTTGGAAGTCGGGAAGAAGCCCATGCCGTGTCCTCAACCCCTGCTCTCTCCAGAGAGCTGCACTGCCACCTGGGTTCCCTGGATCCTAAGATTGGGGACACCTCTGAGATGGCAGCAGTGACAGCTTCTCCTTGTTATCTGTCAGCTGCTCACTGGAGACCCTTCTTCTGGAGCTGGGCGGGCCCCTGGGGAACTATCGTCCTGTCAGATGGTGGCACCTCCTCTCTCCCGTTCCCAGGAAAGCAAAGATGATGCTAGACGACATCGTCTCTAGGGGTCGCGGCGGCCCCCCAGGGCAGTTCCACGACAACGCCAACGGGGGCCAGAACGGCACCGTGCAGGAGATCATGATCCCCGCGGGGAAGGCTGGCCTGGTCATCGGCAAGGGCGGGGAAACGATCAAGCAGCTGCAGGTGAGGGCAGGGCCCCTGCCATCCCCAGAAAGTCCCTTCCTGTGTCTGTGTCCCTGCTGGAGCCTGTCATCCTTTCTGGCTGTGCCTCCCTTCAGCCGTGTAGTCCCCTAAAGGTTGTGTGACAGTTTAGCAGTCCCAGTTAATTTTGGTATTAAAGGAACGTGCCGGAGTGAAGATGATTTTAATCCAGGACGGTGCCCAGAACACGAACGTGGACAAACCTCTCCGGATCATCGGGGACCCTTATAAAGTGCAGGTGAGTCCCCTCCCCCCCCCCCCGGGGTACAGGGGCAGGTGGCTGGGCAAGTGACACATGAGACTCGCCTTCACCGGAGATAGGCATGATGTGGGGCGCTTTTCAAGAGTGGCGCTGCTTCCCTGTTGTCTGTACTTGAGTGACGAGTGGCCCGAACCCCCCGCTCTTCCATCTGAACACGGGGTGTCGGCAGTGCCTTGCTTGGGGAGGCGCTGCGGACGTGATGGGCACGGCACTTGGAAAGAGCCCAGCCCTGGGATGCCGTCGGGCTCTGCAAGTGTGTGACAGGCCTGAGCCCGGGTCCCCAGAACATGAGGGGTGGTGGGGACACTGTGGGCAGGGGCTCCGTGGACTGTTCCCGTGTGGACCGTATCTCTGTCTGCAGCAAGCCTGTGAGATGGTGATGGACATCCTGCGGGAGCGCGACCAGGGTGGCTTCGGGGACCGGAACGAGTACGGGTCACGCATCGGTGGGGGCATCGACGTGAGCGCGGGCCTCCCCCGGCGGGCGGCAGAGGGACACGGAGGGCCGGGCGGGGCGGAGCCTCACGCCTGCTCCGTTCGCAGGTGCCGGTGCCCAGGCACTCGGTCGGGGTGGTCATAGGGCGGAGCGGAGAGATGATCAAGAAGATCCAGAGCGACGCCGGAGTGCGGATCCAGTTCAAACAAGGTCAGGGCCCAGCCAGCCGCCCTCTGGGTGCTGCTCTGAGGCAGCTCGGCCCCACTTGTGGTCTGTTTGGCACGTGGACGTGCTTGTCCTTGCCACTGCCCTGTGACACTCAGGCCCCACAGAGGCGGCGATGTGGGTCTGAGCTTTACGTTTCCATCCCCCTCTGCCCTGCGTGCTGGTCGCAGATGACGGGACGGGTCCTGAGAAGATCGCGCACATAATGGGGCCCCCCGACAGGTGTGAGCATGCAGCCCGCATTATCAATGACCTCCTCCAGAGCCTCAGGGTAGGTGATGTGGATACTGGGGCCAGGGCGCAGGGCTGGCAGGCCCTCCCCAGAGGCCCCTGTGCTCACGTGCCCCCCCCCCCTCCCTTGCAGAGTGGTCCTCCCGGCCCTCCAGGTGGCCCAGGCATGCCCCCAGGGGGTCGGGGCCGAGGAAGAGGCCAAGGCAACTGGGGCCCCCCGGGCGGGGAGATGACCTTCTCCATCCCCACTCACAAGTGCGGGCTGGTCATCGGCCGAGGTGAGTGCGCCCCGGGCGGTCCCTTTCGCACGGTGCCCCCACCCTCCCCGTCCCGCCCTCACTGCCTGCTGCTCCTGCAGGTGGCGAGAACGTGAAAGCCATAAACCAGCAGACGGGCGCCTTCGTCGAGATCTCGCGGCAGCTGCCACCCAACGGAGACCCCAACTTCAAGTTGTTCATCATCCGGGGCTCGCCCCAGCAGATCGACCACGCCAAGCAGCTCATCGAGGAAAAGATCGAGGTGGGCTCGCGAGGGGCTATGGGGTGTTGGGGTTTGTTCCTGCTCCCGTCTCCCGTCCCGCTGACCTCGATCCTGTGCCCCTTCCTCTAGGGTCCTCTCTGCCCAGTTGGACCCGGCCCGGGGGGACCCGGCCCTGCTGGCCCAATGGGGCCCTTCAACCCTGGGCCCTTCAACCAGGGTCCGCCAGGGGCTCCCCCTCAGTGAGTATTCCTTTCATCTTCGTGCAGTTTGGGACGGGGGCCGCTGTGCTGGCAGGAAGAGCGATGAGACCCATTTCCATTCACTGCCCAGAGGCCCACCCATCTCTCAGGGGCCTGAGGCACTAGCCAGGCGAGCTTCCTGATTCTGTACGAATCGACTCCGACTTGTGGCTACCCCCGCGTGTCAGAGTCGAACTCTAGTCTGTGGGGTTTTTAGTGGCTGGTTTTTTTTTTGAAGATTGCCAGGCCTTTCTTTCTAAGTGCTTCCGGGTGACTGCAAACAGTCAACTCCTTGGTTAGCAGCTGTGCATGTTACTTGTTTGCGCCACCTCGAGACTTCTGTGATTTTGTAGTAGACATTGTTAAAAAGTTCGGTCGGCCCTGATTCTGATCTTTATCCATAAACACATGGGCGCTTTGTGTTGTTCCCGCCTGGTGGACTTGGGGACTTCAGTGTCACGTTGCCGAGCCAGCACAGCACAGCCCTTTGCATCACTGGTTGTCCCACACCTTCTCTCCACAAGGCCCGAGATGTGGCTGTGCAGGCGGCCATCTGTCGAGTCTGCTGGTCTGGGCCAGGCCTCTGGTCCTGTTCTTAGGGTTAGCCCTTCAGCCATCCCTGCCGCCTCCCCAGTGCAGCGGCCCCCCAGCCAGGAAAGCACCCCAGCTTGTGTGTCTTTCTCTTTCTCGTCCTGCAGTGCCGGGGGCCCCCCTCCTCACCAGTACCCACCCCAGGGCTGGGGCAATACCTACCCCCAGTGGCAACCGCCTGCTCCTCATGACCCAAGTAAGTAAGGGCTTCCCAGGCAAGGAGGGGCCGGGTCGCCTGTCCTCCCCCTCTCAGCCCGTGCTCCCTGTCCTCCGGCAGGTAAAGCCGCTGCTGCCGCGGCAGACCCTAACGCCGCCTGGGCTGCATACTACTCACACTACTACCAGCAGCCCCCGGGCCCCGTGCCGGGCCCCGCGCCGGCCCCCGCGGCTCCCCCCACCCAGGGCGAGCCCCCACAGCCCCCACCCACCGGCCAGTCGGACTACACCAAGGCCTGGGAAGAGTATTACAAAAAGATCGGTGAGTCCGCGGTGCAGCGGAGGGGGTCCAGCTCTGTCGGGGAAGGGGTGAGGACCCGCTGTCATCGGTGACCTGCCCTTTGATCCTTCCGGCACCGCTCCCCCCCACAGGCCAGCAGCCACAGCAGCCCGGAGCCCCTCCCCAGCAGGATTACACGAAGGCCTGGGAAGAGTACTACAAAAAGCAAGGTGAGCGGGCGGCTGGGTGGGGGCCGTGGGGTGAGGGAATGGCTGTCAGCCCTCTAGCCCCCAACTCACCTGTGCTCCCCTCACAGCTCAAGTGGCCACCGGAGGGGGTCCGGGTGCACCCCCCGGCTCCCAGCCAGACTACAGCGCTGCCTGGGCCGAATATTACAGACAGCAGGCCGCTTACTACGGACAGACCCCCGGCCCCGGCGGCCCCCAGCCTCCGCCCACGCAGCAGGGACAGCAGCAGGCAAGTGGGAACTGCCACCCTCCTCCTCCTCCTTTCTCCTTCCAACCCCCGGCCACCGTCCATCCTGCCTTAGTGGGTAGCGCCGGCAACCCCTTCCCCTGCGGGGTGTGTCCCTGATGCCTGCAGTGGGGCCGCCTGGCCGAGGTCTCCGGGAGCCCCCGCGAGCCGGGGGGCATGTGCGCTGGGTCCAGAGGCTCAAGAAGAGGCCTCCACCGCCAGCCTGCTTGTTCCTGTGTGATGCTGTCATGACGTGGGGGGAGCACCCAGAAAGACACAGGCGGGACTCTGGAACTGGTGGGTAGTCCGGGGGAGGGGGGGCAGCAGACAGCTTGGGGGTTGGTCGCCATCTGGCTGCCAACCTGCTCACTCGAACCTGGCCACTTGGGAAAAAAAAAGTTTGTTCTCCCCTCTGCATTACTTTTTTGGTTTTTGTACCTTTTGTTCTTCGAGTTTTAAAGCCGGGGTATTTTTCCCCGTATCCAGTGACTGTGCGGCGGGTGGCCCCAGCGTGGGGTCAGCGCTGGCTTGCTGGGGGTGAGGGGAGCTGGCCCAAGGCCACCGCGGGCCCGACCCCACTCGCGCACCGCTGTGTCCCGGTCTTGTCTGTGAAGTGGGCATGACGATCGTTGCCACCTTCCAACCTACCTCACAGGGGTGTTGTGGGGACACCGTGATCTCAAAAAATGGTGATGTTGTGATGCGCCGGAGCCACCCACCTTCCTCCAGACCAACGAAGGGCACCCCCTCCTCTCCCCGAGCGCTTCCCTGCTCTCGCTCTCTGTCTCTCTCTGCGGTCCTTGCTTCTCTCCTCCCGCTGCTGTGTCTGCTGTGTGGTCTCCCTCTCCACCCAGGTCCCTGGAGTGCCTGAGCAGGCAGTGCACGGCCTTCCAGCAGGACACCGTCCGTGGGCCGGGACAGGGCCTCCCCGCCCTCCCCGTAGTGACCAATTCCTGTCTCTTCCCTCTCCGCAGGCTCAATGAATCGAATGAATGTGAACTTCTTCATCTGTGAAAATCTTTATTATTTTTTTTTTTTCCATTTTGTTCTGTTTGGGGCTTTTTTTTGTTTTGTTTTGTTTTGTTTTGTCTGGCGAGAGAGCGATGGCTGCCGCAGGGGGTGACGGGAGCCCTCGCTGTGAGGCCCCCAAGTTCACGGCCCACGCGGGCCACGCTCTCACTCTCTCGCACATTCTGTGTGTCTCACATCCTTTCCTTTCAAAACTGGGATCCTTCCTGTTGAGCCCGCCATAGAAGATAGCGAGGGCTAAATCTCTGCGAAAAAGAGAGAGACAGAGAGAGAGACCAAAAAGCAAAACAAAGTCTATAAAATTAGATATATATAAAAAAAAGTCTCTATCCCCCCAGCCTTCCTGAAACTGCCTCTTTCAGGGTAACGCAGTTCATTTTCTCCCTCTACCACCCTCGGCCCTCTTTCTTGTTTTTAAAATAAACTTTTACAAAAGGAAAAAAAAAAAAGTCACTCTTGCTATTTTTTTTTTTAGTTAGAGTTGGAACATTCCTTGGACCAGGTGTTGGTATTGCAGGAAAAGCCCCCCCTTGTCCCTGTCAGCCAAGCCCCTCGGCCTCTCTGCTCCTTTCTTGCTCCTCCTCCCACCCCAGCTCAGCTCCCCGCCTCCCCCCCCACCCGCCCCCCAGGACTGGTCTGTCGTGTTTCATCACTTCAAGAGGAGACTGAAATTGAAAAAAACGAAAACAAACAAAAAAAAATTGTATGGCAGTTTTTACTTTTTATCGCTCGTTTTTAACTTCACAAATAAATGATAACAAAACCTTCCCGTGTCTGCTGGGTGCCGTCTGTCTCTGTCCATAGCGTTTTAAAGCTGCTGTCTGTTGTTTCTAGATGTTGTAAACGCCTGATAATGGTGATTGGAAATGATAAGCTTTGTGTTTGATTTTTTTAAAAAGACAAAAATACAAGAGAAAATAGTTTTCTGCAGGCATATTGTGCATTCCTAACTTTTCCTTTATTTTATTTTTTTTTATTTGGTTAAATAAAGTGCTTTTTTGTTTAAAAGCTGCATGCAGGCCGCAGTTGTGTTTGTAGGGGAAGAGGAACAAGGCTTGGCCAGTGAGAATGGGGTACGGTTTCCTCAGGAAGGGGAGTGGGTTGAGCCCCGGCAACGCTGTCTTCCCCCACCCCGTTTTTCCCTCTGGGGAGCAGGCTCAGGGGACGGGTTCCCATGGACATGGCCTGCCACCGTGCACACCCGGCATGGGGCCTCCTGGAGGGCATCCTGGCTTTGCCTGTGAACGGTTAGACCAGGCCTGCTACAATAAAGTGGCGCCCATTTCAGTGCTGGGTGCTCAGGCCTGGAGAGGAATGGATGGGCCAGGGCCACGTTAGCTGCCCAACCCTGGGACACACACACCACCGTGTATGGCTGGAGTGTCCCTTTTGAAATTAGGGTCGAATACCAACATGTTAAAGTTGGTTTTCACATTCAGAACTTGGCTGTCTGGGCTCATAGGCCTGAGTGACAGCAGCAGCGATAGCTGCCGCCTCCAGGTAGGACCGTCAGAGCCCCCATGACTTCCTCCAAGTTGTCAGGAACCAGGCCCTGTGGGCGTGGTGGTTGGTGACCTGACTCAGGACAGGTCCCAGGAAAGGGGCGCTTGCCAGAACCCCAGGGTCGTCACCGCGTCTCACCGCATGGGCACATGCCCCCGACCAAGTCTGTCGCGGGGTCTGGGTGAGGCGTGGGGCCAGCCCTGCCCTTCTCACTGCAGACTCTCGATGACAGAGCAGCACTTGGCAAAGATATTCTCTGGAGCCTCTTCTGCCAGGATCTAGAGGAGGGGAAGCCAGCTGTGAGTGACAGCGAAGATGCTGCTCTGGACCCCTCAGGCAAGCTTGGGGAACAAACAGGTCCCTGTGCCTTGCTTAAGTGCCCGGGGTAACGTGAGTGAGGGGAGGGGGACTAGCCAGGAAGGTCGCGTGTGACCGTGGACTGCTTCGTGAAGAGCACAGCTGGTCACTCGGCCACAAGCTGGCCAGGGTGGGGAAGGGGAGGCAAGGGGAATGGCCGGCCAGCCCCCCCATCCCCGTCCTTGTTGGTCAGAGCACTCCCAGCTTTGAGAATGCCTCAGCAGGGGAGAGGCACGTGGTGGCCGGCCCTCCCCGGCAGACAGATGGGGCCATCTCCAGTGTTCCCATTGGATTTCCATGACAGGGCAGCAGAGCGTAACCTGTATGGCTGGATTTGAGTTGGGCTGTGGATGACCAGTTGCCATTTAATCTGCGATATGGTTGCTATTTTTCAAAACTTGAATTTTGCAGGCTTTTGGAGCCAGTCCGCTTGCTTAAGGAGTGCCACAAGCAGTTTGCAGTCCGCTCCTAACCTAGAGATTAGAAATTCAAACCCACCCAGTGGCTCCTTGGAAGAAAGGCCTGGCAAACTGCTTCCATAAAGATAGTTGTTAGGTCCTGTCAAATCAATTCCGACTCAGGGATCCCCTGTGATAGAGTAGAACTGCTGTGTACGTTTTTCTCGGCTGTTATCTTTACAGGAGCAGATCGCCAGTTCTTTCTCCTGGGGAGCTTCTGGCTGGGTTTGAACCCCCAAACCTTTTTGGTTAGTGGCTGAGTTTTTAACCATTGCACCACCAGGGCTCCTTCCATAAAAATTACAACTTAGCTACCTATAGACCAGTTCTACCCTGTCACATGGGGTCGCCGTGACTTGGGGGCCAACTCCATGGCAACTAACAGCAAATTTGAACAAAACCTTGAACCTTGCCAGAGCCTGTGCCTCTATTGCCTAAAGGGAAAAACGTTCCCCATGTACATGATGGAAAAATGATCCACAATAGATGGATCCTGACCAAAAGGAGGAAAAGTGTGGAACAGAACTTCTAATTCATTAAGAAACCGGATGTACTGGATCCATTGAGACTGAGGGAATCCCCGAACCTAATGCCTGGAAATAATCTTTAAAACTTGAAGCAAAACTATCCCACGAAGCCATCGTTAAACTAGACGACAGTTTAGCCCAATTAATAATGTTTACTGCCAGCACAGCACTCAGAATTGTCTATACTGCTGGCGCCATGAGTTGGAATCGACTCAACGGCAACAGGATGTGAGTGTAAATTGACAGCAGTTACACTGAATAACAGATGAGAACTTCAAGGGGCAGAGAAACTAGTGGTGAAGCAATATGGGTAGACAGGGAGAATTGGGGACATGTGAAGTGTGTGACACAGTGAACTGCTGATGGAGAAATTGGGAATGGATGTGTGTTTGGTTGTGTATATCCCCACCAAAAATTCAGAAACTACTTTTAAAAAGAGAAAAATCGCCCAGAGAGGGGAAGGCCTGGGACGAGGCCAAGCACACCTGTGCTGTTCAGCTGGGCTTGCCCTGGGGCCAGGTGGGCGTGCAAGGGGCACCTACACTTCGGAGCAGGTTCTTCTGCTGGTAGAAGGTAAGGATGGGCTGGCACAGGGAGTAGTGGGTATCCAGGCGCTGGCGGACCGCAGCCTCGCAGTCGTCTGCCCGGTGCTCCAGCTGCCCGCGATGCAGCACCCTCTGCACCATTGTCTCCATGGAGCAGTCAAACACGATGACCATGTTGGGGGCCCGGCCCACCTAGGCACCCAGGGATGGGGGGCGAGGTGAGGAACAAGCCGGGAGAGGTGGCCCCGCTCTGTCCCCATACACTGAGACATCAGGAATCTGCGACTGTACGTCCTGGGAAAGAATCCTCGGGTTTCACAACCCTTATGGTTTTATTTCAAATTTTTGACCTTACGTATTTGTTTTTTGGGTGTTGCTGGGTATTGTAGAGTCGATCCTGACCCATAGCGACCCCATGTGACAGAGTAGAACTGCCCCATAGGGTTTTCTAGGCTGGTGACACAGTGGTTAAGTGCTCAGCTGCTAACTGCAAGGGTGGCGGTTTGAACCCACCAGCTGCTCTGTTGAAGAAAAGACCTGGAGATCTGCTCCTGTAAAGATGACAGTTCTGGAAACCCCACAGGGCAGTTCTGCTCTGTCACACAGGGTTGCTAGGATTTGGAATCTATTTGACATCACATAACAACAACCTGTACGTGAGCAGATTGCCAGGTCTTTCTCTCACAGAACCACGGTTGGGTTCTAACCGTCGACCTTTTGGTTCGCAGCTGAGTGCTTAACCATTGCGCCACCAGTAGTTCCAAAAAATGAGCCAGTGGAAACCCTATGAAACACAACGGTCCAAACCCGGTGTGCGTGGGGTCGCTGTCAGTCGGGGGCCAACTCAACAGCAGCTAACAACAACCAAACGACATCCATGTGCCTCCAAAGTCAACCAACCAACAAGCAACGGCCCCCAGACACCCCGTGTCACCCCCCAGGAGGTCTTGTGTCTTGCGGCTCCTTTCTGGAGCCATTTTAGACACACTGTACAAGCAACCGTGGCTTTCTATTCCATTTCCCCCTTTGTCATGGAAATGATACACTGATTTGTCCTTGGCCTATTCACTTCACAGAGTGTGGAGATCATTGTACGTTGGCACATCGGAGCTTCCTTATTCTGTATGTGTGATAAAATACACACGACTTAGAATTTACCATTGTTACTATCTTAAAGCGTAGAATCCAGAGGCATTCAGTATGTTCACGATGTTACGCAACCATCACCACTGCCTAGTTCTAGAACATTCTCACCACTCCCCAAAAGGAAACTCTGTGCCCATTAGCAGTCTTGATTCTTTCTTTCCACCAGCTCCTGGCAACCACTAATCTACTTTCTGCCTCTATGGATTTGCCTGTTGTGGATATTTCATATAAACGGAATCAGACGATATGTGGTATTTTGTGTTGGGCTTCTCTCACCTTAACATGTGTCAGCTCCCTGTTATTTTTAACCACTATATGGTGGTTAAGAGCTCGGCTGCTAACCAAAAGGTCGGCAGTTCAAATCCAACAGTTGCTCTTTGGAAACCCTGTGGGGAAGTTCTACTCTGTCCTATAGGGTCGCTATGAGTCAGGATCGACTCAACAGCAACGCTTTCTTTTTTCCGTTTTTTAGCTAGCGTTCTATATAGATGGAAGGAATACACAGAGTTACTGTACCTAAAAGAATTGGTTGACTTTCAACCATTTCAGGAGGTAGCATATGATCTAGAACTGATGGTACTGAAGGAAGGAGTCCAATCTGCACTGAAGGCATTGGCGAAAAACAAGGCTCCGGGAATTGACGGAATATCAATTGAGATGTTTCAACAAACAGATGCAGCGCTGGAAGTGCTCACTGGTCTATGCCAAGAAATTTGGAAGACAGCTACCTGGCCAGCTGACTACAAGAGATCCATATTTGTGCCTATTCCCAAGAAAGGTGATCCAATTGAATGCAGAAATTATTGAACAATATCATTAATATCACACAAAAGTACATGGATCAAGAGGCAGTCCTTCGAACAGAACAAGGGGATACTGCGTGGTTTAGAGTCAATCTGTCTGCTGAGCAAATAACCCGAGAAGCAGGACTATGTGAAGAAGAATGGGGCATCAGGATTGGAGGAAGACTCATTAACAACCTGCGTTATGCAGATGACACAACCTTGCTTGCTGAAAGTGAAGAGGACTTGAAGCACTTACTGATGATGATCAAAGACCACAGCCTTCAGTATGGGTTACACCTCCATGTAAAGAAAACAAAAATCCTCACAACATTGTTTGACTTAAGGGGTGAGTTTAGGAAACCAGCATTCTTAACGCTCAAGGTCCAAAGATCATTTCAGGGCGATAGCTTCAGAGAGTCACCTCAGCCTCCATGGAACCCAGAAATCTGCCCTGCACAGTCCTGCCCCATCCCTTTAATCAGCTGTGGATTGGACCATTTTCATCCACAGGATTTTCACTGGCTGATTTTAGGAAGTAGATCGCCAGACCTTTCTTCCTAGCCCATCTTAGTCTAGAAGCTATGCTGAAACCTGTTCAGCATCACAGCCACAAGCAAAGCTCCACTGACAGGTGGTGGCTGTGCCTGAGGTGCATTGCCCAGGAATCAAACCCAGGTCTCCTGCGTGGAAGGCAAGAATTCTACCATTGCACCGCCACTGCCCAGACTTAGATGGGTTAGGAAGAAACGTCTGACGACTGACATCTGAAAATCAGCCAGTGAAAACCCTACGGATCACAACAGTCCAATCCACAACGGATCATAGGGGTGGCACAGGACTGGGCAACATTTCGTTCCATTGTGCATGGGGTCACCATGAGTTGGGGGCTGAACTCCACAGCAGCTAATAACAGCTTACGATCATCCTCATAAACACAGAAGGGGCAACTGGCAAAATTAAGCACACAACCTGATTTAAAAAAACAACCACACACACGCACACAACCCACTTAAAAAACAAACAACAACAACAAAAAAATCCTTTGCCATTGAGTTGATTCCGACTCATACCGACCCTATAGAAAAGAGTAGAACTACCCCATAAGGTTTCCAAGGAGCAGCTGGTGGACTCGAACCGCCAACCTTTTGGTTAGTAGCTGTTGCACTTAACCACTGATCCACCAGGGCTCCGAAGCCCACTAGGGATTGGTAAATATTTCCTAAGCCAGCATCTCCCTTGGTGGGGAAGCTTTTGCTTTCTGACTGAAGTCAGGAATAAGACAAGGTTGCCCACTCTTGACGCTAGGACTTGGTGTGGTATGGGAGAATTGTCGCTGGGTGCCCTGGAGTCTATTCCAACTCATAGTGACCCCAGGTGATTGAGTAGAACTTTCTAGGCTGTAATCTTTTTTTTTTATTTTTTTATTGTACTTCAGGTGAAGGCTTACAGAACAAATAGTTTCTCATGAAACAGTAGTACACATATTGTTTTAAGACATTGGTTAACAACCCCACAACATGTCAACCCTCTAACTTCTCAACCTTTTTTTTTTTGGTGAAAATACACATAGCCAAAGATACACCATTTCAAAAATTTCTACATGCACAGTTCAGTGACATTGACTACGCTCTTCCAATTGTGCTGCTATTCTCATTTAAGATGAAGGCTTACAGAACAAAATAGTTTCTCATTTAACAGTTACTACACATGTTGCCCTATGACAATGGTTAACAATCTCACAACACATCAACAATATCCTTACTCAACCTTGGGTTCCCTGTCACCAGCTTCCTTGTCCCCTTCTGCCTTCTGGCCCTTGTCACTGGACTCCTGTACCTCGTTAGTCTCATTTGGTTTTACGGGGCTGTCCACTCCCAGGCTGAACGGTGAACCTCGGAGGTAACTTCACCACTGAGCTAAAAGGGTGTCTGGGGGCCATACTCTCGGGGTTTCTCCAGTCTCCTTTAGGCCAGTAAATCTGGTCTTTTTTTTGTGAGTTAGAATTATGTTCTACTCTAGGCTGTAATCTTTACAGAAGCAGATCACTGGGTCTTTCTCCCTCTGAATCTCTGGGTGAATTCGAAGCATCACCCTTTCAGTTAGCAGCCAAGCACTTAACCATTGCACCACCAGCGCTCTGTTAGCTACAGCAATTAGATAAAAGGAAGCAATTCAAGAAATCAGAAGTGAAAGGGAAGGGGGAAACCATCTCTTTGCACGTGATATGATTTTATCTCTGAAAACCGCAAGAAAGTCAACAGATAAACTAGTAGAGACTTAAGAGAACTTGATAAAGTATGTCTAATATAAAATTAACATGCAGAAGCCAATAGCTTACTTGATTCAATAATCATCAGTTAGAAGATCAAGATAGAACAGAAGGCCCCATTTACAAAATCAACAAAAACAAATAATATACAACACTCTCACAAAACTTAACAAAAATTGTGCCAAACTTATATGAGGAGAACTTAATAAAATATTTCAAAGTGACTCGAGCCACGGCTGCTAACCAAAAGGTCAGCAGTTCAAATCCACCAGCCGCTCCTTGGAAACCTCATGGGGCAGTTCTTCTCTGTCCTATAGGGTCGATACAGGGTTGCTATGAGTTGGAATCGACTCAACGTCAACGGGTTTGGTTAAGTGACTCAAAAAGGGATTTGAACAGAGGAAATAGATACCTGCCAGTCCTTGGATAGGAAGAGTTAACATTATAGAAGGCTGGATCTTCTTAATTAGTTTATAATTTTAATGTGATCCAAATGTGACAACTTCTTTTTTAGTGGGGTGAGGTTGATTCTAATAAACAAGCGGGAATGGCTAGGAGAACCTTGGATAAGAAGAGCAGAATGGTGCAGGGGGCTCAACCCTACCAGATAGTCGAACATGATACACCACCCCCAGTTGCTATCCAGTTGACTCCAACTCATAGCGACCCCGTACGTGTCAGAATAGAACTCTGCTCCGTAGGGTTTTCAGTGGCTGCTTTTTCAGAAGTAGATCGCCAAGCTTTTCTTCCAGGGCACCTCTAAGCCAATTCCAAATTCCAACCTTTTGGTTAGCAGCTGAGTGGGTTAACAGTTTGCAAAAATATAATTCAGCCTCTATAATTCAAACAGTTTGGTGCACAATTGGACAAACAGACCCCTGGAACAGAATAGAAAGTCTAGAAATAGACCCACATGAATATGGAAAGTTTATAGCTAGGGTGAGCCCATAAGGCACTCAACTGCTAACCACAAGGTTGGCGGTTCAAAACCA